GGGGGGGGGGGGCGGGGGTACAAATGGCGTGTGGACGGCAGCAGCAGCAGCAGCAGCAGCAGCAGCAGCAGCAGCAGCAGCAGCAGCAGCAGCAGTAGAATCGCCGCTACTTGGGGTGTTAAAACGTCGCGTTACAGCAGTGGTGCTCGTACAAGTTGAACACTCATACCCCGTTGTTCACCGCCCATTGCATTCTTCACAGCATCTCCAAACGTATTTGCTCCTTCTTAAAACATCATGGCCGCCACAACTGCTGTACGTTTACAATCTGTCGTCGCCTCGTCTGCCTAACTTAGTGGACAAGAGGAATGGCCAACGCTAAACGCGGTGCTCCTTCCTGCTACAGGTCCACGACATTCTGCCAAAAACGTGCGCACGGAAACCGAAAAGCGATGACATCCCCGCCCGCCCCGTCATGAGTTACCCGCCCGCCCCGTCCCCTTCTACCCGGCTCCTCCTTGTCCCTCTCCCGCCGCGAGCGACGATGTGTCCTTGATCCACGCCTCCTCGGAGATCTGGTACCGCAGTGGGATGGGCGTCCCCGCCCGTGCAGCCTTGTCCTTGCTCAAGTGAGAGACCTTGTAGGTGTTGTCCCCGCCGCAGAGCAAGGTTTGCTCCAAGCAAGCCTGGAGCGAAGTCCACACCTTGCCCAGCTTGTCCGGCGACGCCTTCTCCCACGCGGTCTCGACCTCGCCGACGAGGTCGTCGATAGTCCTGGGCTTGTAGCGGTCCTGCAGGGACTGGATTGACGCGAAGAAGCCCAGGTCCAGGATGTTGGTGTCAGGGCTGTTGCGAAGCTGGTTGCAGGTACGGCTTGAGCGCGTTCGAGTGCGCCCTCAGCCCGAGCGCCTTGAGATTCCTGTGCAGCGTGCTTTTGGGAATCCCAAGCGCCGCAGCCAAGCGGCGCTGTGTGGTGCGGTCGTTCAGCGGGATGTCACGCAGGCGCTCCTTCAGTTCTTCGAGGGGAATGCCCCTCCGGCCGCTATTTCCCTTGCGCCGGTTCTCTATCTGTGGACTGGCGACCCCCGCTTTGTGCTGCGTATCGTACCTCATTCACAGCCTCTTGATCGTCTCCCAGTGGCAGCCGAACGTCTCGCCGGCTTCCTTGAACGCACCATACCTCAAAACCCTGTTCTTGCTGCCAGCGAGGAGGTACCGAATCACCTCCTCNCAAAAGAAACAAAAACAGGGTACAAACCACTCGGAAAAAGAAAACAAAATGATAGAAAGAAAAGAACAGGTATCGCACCGACCGGTCGAGAAAAGAGCCCTCGGACACCGATCAAAATAAAACAAAACAAAAATAACAGAAAGATAAAGGAGGACGCTTCCCACACCCGCCGAAAGAAAAAATCCATAATCAAAGGGTAACGTACCAGCACCAGACACTGCGCACCAGGGCATGGGAATAACGGAGCAAACAGGGCAAAGAGGCGGCAGATGGGCAGACAGACAGACGTACAAAAA